AAAAAAAAAAGACAACGATCGGCGGCGGCAGTTCAGCGGCAGGTCCTTCGCTCCTACAGGGAGTGAGGGACCTGTCGCCCCCGAATTGCCGCAGGTGCCACTCCTCTCCCTTGGTCCCCCCAAGCACCTGCCTGTTAAGCTGGTGCCTGGAGCCGGCCCTGTGTTCAAGACTCGGAATTTCAATTCTGGAGGTCAATGACAATGCAGCAATTAAGTAAAATGGCTAAGAAACTGTTACGTAAGTCTTCTGGCAGTAACACTTGGTGGAAAAAAACAAAACTTGAACTGAATCTTGTTTAGATTATGTGTTAAGAATCCCAAGAAAAATAGGAAAACATCCTCTGCAAGTGTTTGAGTGTTATTACATTGTTTTATCATCTTTTCTATTGTTTTAGCTCACAGTGGTTTTAAGGAATTCACAAATGCAGACTCTGGAGAAGAGAACCTTATGAAAGCCAGCTAGTTTCTGTGAAAATTTCATGGTTTGATGAAACTGTGACACTGAAGGTAGTTCATTTTTCCTCTCACTTCTTTTATACATTCCCTTTTCAGTTTCTCCTCCATTCCTTCTATACCACTTTTCCTTTTTTTCCCTTTCCCTTCCTGCCTTCTGTTCTTTCTCACCAAATCCCTCCTCTTCTCCCTCACACTCCCCTTTTTTAGGACTTGCCTTCTCAGAAGGCTATAGACTGGTGGTATTAGAAAGCAACATAATCAACTCACTTGTGCATGTTTGAATTTCCATGCTTTAGAAGGCAGTGTTTATAAGCTTACACACAAATGCGTGCAAGCAAGTCATTATATCAGAGCTGTGTGTGATGGCCAGTATTTTTCCACAATGTTTTTCATGGATATTTTTACCATTTCTGGTGAGTTCATGTCTGTCAAATTTAATTTATCCCCAAAACTTAATGAAATGGTCATTTTGCTTATCACACGAAATTTTGAACTTCAAATACTGAAGCCACTCTTCAATCAAAAATGTCCTCTTTTTCAGTAGAAAATGAGCTATTTACTGACTGAAAGAGGACTTAGACATTTGAAGCTAAAAATGTCATATGTGTACATATATAATATGTGGGGGCGGGGACACGAAGATAAAATAAGTGGCATTTTGCCCAGTGTTATCTTTTATAGAGAACAATTAGGAGCATTTTATAAACACTCCAGCAAAGGGATAGATTTTTCAGTAAAGCATGGATTACCTTAAAGAAGAAGGATGTTATTTAAAATCCATAGGATTTCAGATGGCAATAATTTTAAGGTAGATCAAACACTAAACCTACAGAAAATTACTTGACAGTGTCCTTAGAAGTTTATTCTATGTTTCAAGATCTTATGCTTTATGTCATTGGGTGTTATGAGATACATTTAAATGCGTAAGTCATGTATCAGAGGATTATTGAATATATGCAACATCTATATCTAACTCAGTCATTTTTTTAAGCAAATGCTTTCATTTAAAGGAAGATAAGGTTGTTGCTCTATTTGAAAATAATGGAAAATTTCAGAAAAACACGTTTTTTCCTTCTTTGCTTTTAAAATGTTTGTTTAAAATCAGCAAGGATTTCACTGTTAAGCCAAGTGGGTCGCCTGCCATATTTACTATTCTTTCTACACATTGGGATGGTTTGTTCCTGCAACCTCAATAAGGATTCTTTAAAATACAGCCAGCTCTCATGGACTCCTTTCCCCCCTCATGTTATTCTCCCAGGGGATCCTACCCATCAGTTCCCAGAGGGAGTCAAAGTCTGCTTTTCTAAAGTTCAGGGTCCGTATTCTGCTGCTCTCCTTTCTTCCTTGTGTCAGGATCCTGAACTCGACCATCTCATGGTCACTGCCTCCCAGGTTCCCATCCACTTTTGCTTCCCCTACTAATTCTTCCCGGTTTGTGAGCAGCACATCAAGAAGAGCTCTGCCCAGTTGGTTCCTCCAGCACTTGCACCAGGAAATTGTCCCCTACACTTTCCAAAAACTTCCTGGATAGTCTGTGTACTGCTGTATTGCTCTCCCAGCAGATATTGGGATGATTGAAGTCCCCCATGAGAACCAGGGCCGGTGATCTAGTAACTTCTGTTAGTTGCCTGAAGAAAGCCTCATCCACCTCATCCCCCTGGTCTGGTGGTCTATAGCAGACTCCCACCACGATATCACCCTTGTTGCTCAGATTTCTAAATTTAATCCAGAGACTCTCAAGTTTTTCTGCAGTTTCATACTGGAGCTCTGAGCAGTCATACTGCTCTCTTACATACAATGCAACTCCCCCATCTTTTCTGCCCTGTCTGTCCTTCCTGAACAGTTTATATCCATCCATGACAGTACTCCAGTTATGTGAGTTATCCCACTAAGTTTCTGTTATTCCAATCACATTATAATTCCTTGACTGTGCCAGGGCTTGGGTTCCTCAGGCTCCAATTCTTTTCCATGGGCCAGACTTCCTGGCTAGACTACAATCTCCTAATATTAAGGGTGACCATACATCCCCCTCCCCAAACCCCCAAATACCATCCCAGTACACACACACACCTTCAGCTCCTCCACCAAATAGCCCCTCACAGTACACCCACACCCCTCCAGCACTTCCCAAAATAAATACCTCTTCCAACAGCCCCCAACTGTACCCCCTTACAGATTCCCTCCCCCCAGCAGTGTCCTCTATTTGGAAACTTGAAATATGGTAACTCTATCCATGATGCAGCATGGTCTCCCCTTTTGCTGAGCCACTGTAGTGTGTCATTGGAGTCCCTGGCCATAAAGCATCATGAGAGATGTAGTCTGAGAGAGGAACCAAGCCCAAAGAAGAAAATGAGGGCACGGTGCAGCTGAACTACAATCCCCATGAGGCATTGTGGCAGTATTTACAAACCAAAAGTTTTTGGTTTTCAGTCAAAACATTAAGTTTTCAGGTTTTGGTTCTTTGTTTGTTTGGGGGGAGGGGAGTTTACAAAAAGAGAAAATCTTCCACAGAAAGCAAGCTCTTTAAAACCCAATTTTTTATCTAAAAACAGTTTTGATGGAAAATTCCCAGCCAGCCTCCATAAGCATGTTATACTTGTCTATAGTCCATATTAGCTGCCCATTGATTTCTGGGTGAAGTTAAGGGTGCAGTGGCATAACAAGGTCCCAGAGGGTCTTGGTGCAAGAATAGATAGGGGGCCCTGTCACGATTCCAAAATCCTCCCCCCTCTCACTCCCTGACAGCCCCAATCCAGCCTCCCTGTCTCCTAGTTCCTCTCCGGCCCCCTCACAGAATACATCTGGGCAGTTGTTCATCAGGGAAAAAAATCCATCCTGGCCCTTGCAGGTGACCTGCTGCAGCCCTAAAGTATGGAATTTGATTATAGTCATTGTCATAATGCAGAGCTCAGGTATTATGAGCCTGTTGAGAGCAATGCAGAGCTGCAGGTATTATGAGCCTGTTGAGAGCAATGCAGAGCTTCTTGTTCTCTCTGTGGCCCATGAAGGAAGGGAATTAAGAGGGAAATTCAGAAATTTACATATTCACAGAAAGAAGGGACTACCATAACTATCTATCCTGACCCCACATACACACAGGCCAGGGAATTTCTCCCAGAAGCCGGATTAAAGCCTATTCTTTAGAACGCTGTGATATCTTATCTTGGTGTGCAACGGCATTTTATCTCATTTTAAAGACTCCCAGCAATGGTGAGTCCATCACTTTGCCTGGTAAGCTGTTCTGATGTTTAATTACCCTGACTGTAATGCTCACATTCTGGGCACTAATATGCACTGGCGACTCTATGGAGTTCTCCCCAAGCTTGGGGAATGAACGTATCATGAGTTCTGTCAATAAACTAGAGGGATTATGCAGCATTCCACTACAATAAACCCTTTTTATTTCCCTGATATCAAGCATTAAAAATGACTAATAGTCTTAATATTAAATGGAATAAGCAGTGGTTCTGCCCCACACATACAAAAAAGTTTATCTTACTGTTTGAATTCACATTTTAGGTGGGCTGGCAACTATTTTACTTTTGTTTGTCTGAAGTTTTCAGTAGAATATTTGTACAAGTAGAAGTTATTGGCCCTGGAAACCAAAGTTCACTCACTGCTCATCCACAGGTATAAGCAGGGTCTCAATGAGCTCTCCCCTGACATATAGTGATGAACAGGGGGGGAAAGACTTTAGGAGCAGATTATATTTGCATAGACACACCTACTCTGCCTAGAGGATCAGCAAATGGAACTGCTTTGCCAAAGTGAAGCAATTTTGGCTGGTTTTGGGTTACAATTCCCTCTAGTATTGAATGCAAGGGTAATGAACTGTTGTTGTCCTTATTGTATGAGTAAAGGGCAGCAGAACTGTACTTAGCCTGCCCTGATTCAGGGTGTCAATCTAAACTGAAAGGTAATGCAGAAGTTGTGCTAGCAGTGAGGTTGCCTAGTTAAATTGCTGAGAGCTGGGCTAAATGGTGGAGCCTCAGGATGTGGCAGTGCAGAAGTAACAGCAAGCAGTAGTGGCAGAGAAGCAGTGGAAGGCAGCAGCAATAAGCTAGTCACAGGGATGTATGGCGGCAGCAAAGATATTGCTTGATGCCCCCTCTCAGGGATGGAATGTGAATGCACCTCTGAACTCTGGGTCTTTGCTGCTAAAAAAAACCAAATGGGAGTGGGGTGGAGTGAAGGGAAAGGTGTGTTAAAGGGATGTTCATTTCTTGGACTATCGCACTGCAAGGTGGGAAACCAAGGCAAAGGACACTGACCAATGTACTGTGGGGTGGTTGTTTGCTTATGGCTATGTGCTTTTGAATCATGGTTGTGGTGTTTTTCCAAATTAATGATGGGTTCCCTTTCCCTTTCAATAAGTTTTCTTTTGTTATACATAGCCTCAGTGCTGCAAGTGAGGAAGTCTTGCCTCTAAGAGCCTAGATGCGGGCTCTGTTTTGTATTGTTGCTGCTGACACCACCAGGAAGAAGGGTTACACATGCAATCTATTATGAATAACCAGACGTAACCATCTTTATCAAATTCCTGTAGACATCAAGAGTGTTTCCATTGCTGAGGGACTAGACAGAGGCAGTCATGCTCCATAAAGTTTAGTCTGGTAATCTGTACTGTCTAGCTAGGTACTTATATGGCCCCGATTATGTGACTCCAAGCATCCCACAGTCTTTAACATATTTCTCCTCACAATACTCTTGTGAGATGGGAGAGTCCTATTAACACACTTTTACACATGGAGAACTACAGCACAGAGAGAATACTGCCTGCTGAGTGCCAGCCACCAAAGTTTGTGGACTACCTCGCCTTCCTATTTTAACCACTGCTCAGTAAGTGCAATTAGGATTGAACTTTGGAAATTCACACTCGGAGATTAAGCTGGAACTCCTTTTCCCTCCCTAGATTTTGGCGTGGGAAATGGTTTTATGGTCTAGGGTTTATGTTTGGCTCCTTAGAGAGACAATGGCTCATCTTCCTAGTTGAAATTTGGATCCAGAATGGGATTCTGCAACATCCTCTGCAAAATTTAAGGATGTTTAAA